CAGAGCCCTCCTGCCTTCCAGCAGTCTGGCCTACCTACACAAGATACCAACGGCATTGAAAATAAATTCTTACGACTTCATGATGTGTATGGCCACTACCCTTAAAACCCTTGAACATATCAAATTCCCCTGGGAACACTTCCTATTCACATGCCTAAAACAGATTTTAAGGGTTTTTTTTCAAAATAAGGACTTTTAACAAATCTGAAACCACAAAATAACCTTGTTTTGTGACACTGCCTTACCTGGAGTAGAACCTTCCCACTGTAGACACTCATGGGATACATGGTACCAAATGTCATCAAAGCAATTGCTATAGCAGAGGCTGTGTCTACAGCAAAATAATTGCTAGAGGAAAAAGAGCAATTTTAAAGAAAAACAGGTTATTTACATTTTTGAAAGGCTAAACTTTATGATTCTTCTTCATTCTTTTTAATTATATACACTTACAGAACATTACACATACTAATCTCATTTGAACTACGCATCTTTGAAAGAAAGACAAATGTATTCATGGCATTGCAATGCCATTCATACAAAACCATAGAATCATACAATTTTAGGGGTTGGAATGGACTTGACAGATTGTCTAGTCCCAACCCCCCCTACCATGGGCAGGGACACATCCCACTAGACCAGGCTGCCCAAGGCCTCATCCAGTCTGGCTTTGAACACTGCCAGCTTTAGATGAGATCATTCCCTTCAAGTATCATTTCCTATAGACTGGATACAAAAAGAGTCAGTTTTTTTAAACAACTGTACATACTTGATTTCAATGAGCATGTATGTAATGCAAAGAGCTAGAGCTCCTGCAATATCAATCAAGACAAAAGGGTTCATCCGTGGCAGAAAGATGCTACTCAATCCTGGAATGATTCCACAAATACTGTAACAAAACACAAAAATAGGTTGTCAGCTCCCTGTTCATCATCACTTCAAAACTCAAAAGTTACACCCACTGTTTCAGCACTTGACTCCAAGCACAGTCACAGCATATGATAAATACTGTAAAGGCCCTTCTAATCCTGCTCAGGCTGATGTCAGCAAAAATTAATCAAATTTAGAGCCACATCACATTCTCTCCCATATCTGAAACTCATACTTAACTCTTGCATCTTGAATTTCCTTTAAGTCTATCTTCCCATCTACAAACTATTACATTACTCTAATCTTTATAGTTTTTCTATATGTTAAAATATGGATCTTGTGCCACTTTCTTTTTTTCAGGTAACACAGCTAGCTGTGTCAGTCACATGCAACACAAGTACTTCACAGGTTCAGATACTGCCATTACATGCATGTAAGCCTTGGGGGGAGGTTCAAATATCACTAGTCTTCAACCCATCTGCCATCTTGGTGTGCCAAAGTGTTCTAAAGCCAAAGCTAACTAATTCCTGGAGTGTGAAAAGAGAAAGGACACCAGCTAGCTGAATAGGGCAAGACCAAAAATCCCATGAGGGAACCCTGGGAAAAGTTATTTATTTATAGCTATCTCCTGTCAACAGGAGCATGAAGAGAGAAAAGAGTTTCTGTACTTCCCAGTGAATGCAAGTGCATGTCACACCCTGGAAAATTTGAAGGCAATGACAACATGAATTGTCTTGTTGTTCTGTTTAGAGCCAACCTATGTTTAGACATCATGTGCTGGCCTGTTCCTGTAAGAATTTTAATCAACATAATTATATACAGGTGCAGATATTTTGTAATCAGCACTGCTTCATGTAACACATCTGAAATAGCTGTATGCATACTAATTAAGATGATTTTTTTTATTGCTGCCATAATTGTAAACAGGTTATCTCAAAACCCAGTGGTAATTCCTGACTCATGATCTGTGATCCCTTCAAGTTATCCATCTGTGTCCTTCCACTGTTTCCCCACTAAAAAACTCTGCTACTGTCTGTGATTGCTATCCACCTTTTTATTTTACACCAAAACTCCAGGTACTTGGGCAACCCTATTGTTAGTCTTCCAAAGCTGTTTTGGAGGATTTGGGTCTGATCATGTAATCTCTCATAACTGTAAAAATCTGTTTAACAAGTGAGCATTATCTCCTTTCCTTGGCTGTAAGAAAGATCACAACACACAGAAACAGATGGGCTTTGCAGCACGCTTAACATGTTTTACAGTATGGTTGAACATTCTTATTTTGATACTGACAGATACTTGGAAGAACATGTATGGATTAAAATAAATGTTTCTGACATCTGACAAAATTATTTGCAAACAATGTTATCGTGCATTCAGATATCCAATACAAGCAAGAAAGTTAACAGACAAGATGAATGAGCAACTTGGGAGACACAGACTTTCCAGTTTTCTGCTAGACAGGTAAGGAGTTCCCTCAGCTATGTTTCAGTAAGTAACCTGTTTTTAGTATCTCATTTAAACTGCAACCATCTTTGTCATTTGCCCAGTTCACAGAGTAAATAAACACAAATTACTACAAAATATAAAACTCAAGTAACCAATGTTGAGAACTGCAGTTCAAGCCTGTACAAGACAAACGTAGCTTTCCCCATCTCATCCAAGAAGAATTATATACAATGTACTGAACACACACATTCAAATGGAAAGATATTCAGAAAGATGTGCTTCTGTTAGATTGATTTAGCTGTTAAATATGAGAGACAATGCTTGCTCTAGAGTTCATACACTAGACCTACAGCAGGTAAAGCTACTTGAAAAGCTCTAACACACAACAGTTTATGCCTCAATATTCATCCAAACTGCTGTTATACACACAAACCCAACATTGCCTTCCAGAAGCTAACAATTTAGAAAAACACTATAAAGCTTTACCTTCTACTAAGATCTGCAACATGCTCCTGAAGCCAACTTGTGCTGGCAGCTGCAAAAGAAAGAAGGTAATAAAGTTACTACAAGTAAAGGTATCAATTTTAAAACACACAAAGTTTTGTTTAAGCGAAGAACCCAATAAATACACTGTCAGTGAATAAATACATCTCAACAGATTCACTGGCACTTGAAAAAATCCCAAAGTCTGACTTTTCAGGCAGTAAGTAAAATGCCCATCTCTTGTAATAATCTGAACTGATTAAATACAAAGATAATCACAGATTAAAACCACTATGTTTCATATAATATGAAGTATAATATCTAACTATGAACAAATTACAGTTAGTGGGAATGACTTCACAATGAAAATGTCCCAGGTAAAAGAACTGTTAAGAAGAATTATTACAGTAATTTGTTTTTATCCATTAATATATCCATAAAATGCCTTCAAAGTTCCGATATCTATCAGATGACCTTCACAGGTTGAATCCAAAAGATTGGAAATAAAGGGTACATCAGCATTAAAATGATACTCAGTTTATCATATTAATGAATACAAACCACTCAAGAGCCTTATGAGCAAACTAGGGCTGAAAATCAGATGGCAATTCTAAACTGCATGAAGCTATATTAAAGGAGGTAATAGTACTATATACCCACTAGTCAAGTAAGTTGTAAGTTATACCTTGACAAAAATAGGAACATTAAAATCTTTGATGAATTCTTGCTATAGTTTAATTAACCACATACCTTCAGAGACATAAGCAAAAGGCTTATTCCTAATGGAAAGCATTGTAAATAAGTTGAAAAAGAGAGCCACGAAAGTACCAACCAGCAGTCGTCCCCTAGGGAGGGGAAAAGAAGTATCTTAATTTCACATCATCACAAAACTATATTAGGTTATATGAAACTATATCTAAATATATATATGTGCGCAAAACTATATTAAAAGTATAGTAATTATATAAACCTGTAATTACTAGTAATAATATCAAAACACTTTGCTTGGTATCTTTCACTGAGGCTGAAAACAAGAGTAAGATAAACTAGTGTAATGCTTAATGACTGGCAGTGTATTATCATTGTAAGGGTTATATGAGTTCACTGAACTTTGTGCATTACTGTTATCACATTAGGCTGTATATAAGGTTGAGCAACAGTACTTAACTACCTGCATATATGCAGACACACGTGTGTTTGTCCTTTGAAGATATACACTGTCCCCTCAGCAGCACAGCTAAAAAAAAGCTTAGTTTCCTACAGAATTATGTCCTATGCCCCTATCCTTTTTCTAGGACTACAACTTCACCATTCATCCCATGTCCCAGTCTTTTGCCATCTAACACCTTCTTTTCCTTTCCACGTGCTCTTTATAGCCTTCAGCATCTTGGCAACACCTTCAGTTCCCTCATGACCACAGCACCCTTCCCCTCAACATACTAGGCTGCCTAAGAGGCTTCCCTAAGAAATGAGAGCAACTAAACTAGCAAAGTCAGCAATATATGGTTAAATCACTATTCAAGAGAGCATGAGCATTACATTTCAACTGTACCTTAAAAAACCGTTTGCAATATAGCTCTCACAGTCTGAAACAAATGCCAAGCTGCCAAAAGCAATTTGGTGTTGAATGCACTTGCATAACTAGATACATGCCAGATGAAGAATTAGAAATGTAAAGGGACATTGACACATTTTACATGTGAAAAGAATTTCTTACGTGTGTATCTCAGGCTGTTCCAGAAACCGCTCTGCACTACAAAAGTAATTGAAAATTTGAGTTATATTAATACAGTTAAACCTTGATACCTGAAGTACCTATTTACAGTTCTGTAGAATTAGCTGCCATTCATAAACAAAACCTGATGGATACAGTGCTACAAAAAAATGAATTGCTTAAATAAGCACAACAGCTTTTAAAAGCAATGGAAGCATTTAATACTGAAACAAAGCAGATGTAATTTAGATTTTCCACATATTTCCAAACTGAGCCACCTAGGTGCCAGCTACCATGGATGCTGCCTACATGATAAAAAGATGTCTGTGAATGAGCATGCCAAAAAAATACTGCCACCAGCAGCAGCGTTGGTGACCACAGCAAACTAAGTCTGAAATTCCTGACTTACAGTCTCCCACTAAGCAACAGCAAATAAAGTAAGACATTGCATACTGTGGTAGAGCATATGAAAGTTTCGATGTTGGAAAACTTGGAGGTTTTGACCTCCAGGTGGATCGTTATTAGAATTCATTTCAGTGTACTGTCAGTACAACAGATCAACCTTATAGTGTATTGCTAAGTTGCTAACATAGCCCTTTGTATAGAAAATAGAGTCCTTGAATAGAAAAAGGAAAGGGACACTGCCACAGTTCAAAATTCCAGATATTAACAAAAGCCTCTTCATCTTTAAAGACTAACATAATTTTTTAGGCTGTCTGAAATACAAATGCTTCCATGCATGGATGGTATGTCGAATACGTGAGCAAATTTTGAGGGAGTGATGAAGTTGATAGTTTAAACATTCAGATGCCTTTATTTATTAATGAACTTAAAAATCAAGATACATAAGGACATGCATTAAATTAATTACACAACTTTGGAAGAAAATGTTCTTAGGAACATCGCTTGAGAGTTGTTTAATTACATTTATCAGTTCTTATCATTCCATCTAAAGCCTACATGTAGTGTAATCAATGCAAGCAAGCAGTAAGGCCTAACAAGATTTTAAAAGTATCTTCAGCTTATTCTAAAACATTTCTCTACAGACAGCATTTGTAGAATCCATATGCTTTTGCTCAATCTGGAGTATCTCTGTACATTACAAAAAGAATTGAAGAAAACAGGACACAGCCCTACCTTTCTTTCAGTATAAAAAGAGCACCAAGTTGTGCCAGAACTGTAGATGCAAATACTGCTAGAACTTCAAACCTTTCAAACCTGAAATTTGAGAATTAAGTTTAGAAACACTGAACATGGACAATGCATCAAACAGAATCTCATCTGTGAAGAAACCTGCAGGATAGACATTCTTTTCAATTCCTTCAAGAGCAGAAAGATGGGAAGAAACTGGAAGTTTTATGGAATTAGACATTATTTTCAGTTTCTTTTAAACCAACACTCCACTTACCACAGACAACTTAAAATCCATCATTTCTTAATTCTTCTTCCCGTCCCTTCCCTAGTCTATAACTGTTCTTTACATATCAGTCTTGGTCCTCCTTATCTTTAGGCTCTTTCACACAGATTATTACTCCTGGCTATTAGGGGATCCAGGCAATGACAGTAAGCAACATATCAAATGTTGTATTGTCCAACATCAGCTCTTGTTATTAGTACTTACCCAAATGAATAGGCTGGGCTGGGCTTCTTCATCATTACCCAGTAGCTTATTAGACATGTTACCAAACTGAAAAAAGGGGAAGAATTAAGACTATGATAAATAACTCTGACCTTTACAAACTGAATAATCTACAAACCCACACCTGAGCCATCAGAACTCAACAATATCACCACATCTTACCCCGAACTCAACACCTCCAGCACTGTTGTAATGAACCCAGAAAAGTCTGTGCTTGGGAACAAAACTGAGACTGCGTGATGATGCCTCAGCTGGTCCCATAAAAAGGGCAGCAAATAATTTTAGTGGAATGGTAGGCAGCCTAATCCCTCACAGCCTAATGATGTACTTATAGCATACTGTGCTTACAGACTGCCACCAACCTTCTTCAACACAGACCATCACCCAGCCTAAACTCTCAAAGCAATGCATTTTTCCACTGAGGCCTTGGCATGAAACAGCACAATCAGTGTTGTACCCCAGTAGTTTTTCCAAAAGGGACCTGGAGCACATGAGACCAGGTACCCCAGAATCTGACTCACAGGCAAAGGTAGTTTGAGGAAATCCTTTTACTACTATTAGCAAACATAGTAAAGAAAAATACAATGCAAAAGCCTATGACATTATCAAACCAGACACACTTTGTGACCTTGCCTGGCAGTACTGTAACCTGAGAAAGGCCATTTAAATGAGAAGGAATGTGATAAGCAAGACAGGACTGTCACATTTGTGTCACTTCCTTTGTATCCCAATGAAAAAGTGAAGAAAGCTCTCCATTAAACTCTTCTTTTAGAGATATACCATGAATTAGATTTAGCAGGAGTTGCCTCTCTTTTTCACAGTGTAATTTCTCTACCTATATGGCCAAACCAGACTTACTTTCTTTGGCTGCACTCATCTACACCAGCTCTGACCTAACTGGTCACTATTGACTGATAACCACAGGTCTCTCTTGCTATCTTCTTTCCAAGTTTCTCTCTCATACTGAGCATCTAAAATTCCAATTATTTTATCCCAATGGTATACTAGCCAGACTTTTTAAAGGATGAGTCTCATTTCCTGTGCCTATTTTTTCTCTATTGACCCCTTCGGACAATTTAACTGGAATCCACGTGAATTCAGTGCCATCAGTGCCTTCACGAAACCCTTTCTTAATTAATGATGTTAAATCAGACTCAAGAACTCATCTCTACATCTGCTGAACAATCACATCCTCGAAACATCATCCTCAGCTGTGCAGAGTGAAAGCAAAAGCAGAGGAAATAATACTGCTCATATACAAAACAGTAAATTCCTTTACTTAGTAAGACCATTATACACAACAAGGAAGATGACAAAAATGAAAGAACCAGAAACTGATTCTTGCAGCAGAATTACTAAGCATTGTTCTCCCTTACAGGAAAGCAAAACTTATGAAAGAGATTGCTGTGAGTTAGAATAATCTCCTAGTCCAACCCCTAACTAACCTCATATGTGAGTGTCAAGGGTATTCTGTGTTTTCCTATAACTAAAAGAAAAATAATACTGCATACAAATGGAAACACAACATCAAAACTTTCCCATGCTGAAAAAGGTATTTTGAGTCAGGATAACAAAACTCAGCAGATAAAAAATTCCAAGACAAATATGAGATTTGTCAAAGTTATATCACAATTCTAATGCAGTCACAGATTAATTTAAGTATTGTTTATACCTATACCAAACGTTCATTTTCCTTTCTGAATGTTTGCTGCTTTTATTTATGAATGTTTTACTACGAGTCAGACAAGCTACAGTTTGTAGTGGACAAACTAGACTGCAGAAAGCTGATCCATACATTTTATAAGCTAGTGAGCTAGCAAGGAAGAGAACATAGGTTGATATTTTCAAATTACATGTATTGTATGCAGCTTATTTCCCAGCCACTGCTACCAGTCTGCATCTGAGATAAGAAAGGAATATATTTCATGTCTGTATTATCAGTATTACCAAAAGTGTTCAGAACTATCATACTTAAAGTAGTTTTAATACAATTTTGTTAGGAATCAAGAAAAATACTAAAAATATCTAATGCCCTTATGAGAAGAATGCCTGGGATCCAGCCCATGAAATATTTTTGAAATAGAATTACTTATTCCTAGTTTTCTGATGCTAAAACTGAGGGATGCTTCAGAATCAATGAATCATTAGGGCAATGTTCTGAGTGAGAAACCAGATGACAGTTTGATGCTAGATTCTGTTTTATGTTGTCACCCATCTGCACAGAGAAATCCATGACTGAACTAATTCGTTACTAGTCATTGTCAATACAGCTATGGTGGGTTTTATAATCTATTTTTTGGGATGTACAATTTTATACTCATTTAAACTATATTTAAACCAGTTACTGTTTCTATACTGATGGCCAAGTATCATGTTTGTACCTGTAAGAACATTTTATATGTAAAGAAATACAGTCACAAATGGTAAGACAAAATGGGAGAAAAACTCACCTGAAAAGGTCAAAGATTGTCAAATATGTGTAAGCAGTTAAAGCTGTAAATAAAGGCAAATATAAAAGCTTAATATAATTTTTCAATGCAGAAATCACTTGTATCCTAAGCCCCTTTCGTGCAGCTCTTTTTAATCTTCTATCTACATTAACTGTCCCTGCTGATCGAACAAGTCTCTCTGAATGTCCTAAACACATCAATTATGGCAATCCTAATTCTACTAAAAGATGCAATAATGCCCAGATACAAAAGGTATTATGTTTGTGACTGTATTTTTCATTCTGCATTTTCAAAAGACAGAAAAGTCAGGAGATCTTCCAGTAACACATCACTCACCAAAGCAAGAGATCTCCTATATGCCCTTTGCAGTGAAAAGTAGGTTCAAAAGTGGTTTTTGTTTTGCATCTCTGACCTATCTTGAAACTGCAAGAAAACCTCTGTCAAATATTAAAAATGTACAGCTTTCAGTTCAGATGATGGGAAGCACCTTGAAGTCCCTATTCTGAAGCACAAGACATATAAAACTGCTTTGGGTCTAGCTGAGAGGGAGGTTCATTTTCCCCACAGCAGCTCTCACAGTGCTGTGCTTTGTGTTGGTAGCTACAAAGGTGTCAATAACACACCAGTGCTTTGGCTGCTGCTGAGCACTGGTCCCACAGCACTGAGGCTCTCTCTCCAACAATCCACCCACTATCAGTAGGCTGGGGGTGGACAAGATTCTGGGAGGGGACACAACTAGGACAGCTGACCCAAAGTGACCGAAGGGATATTCCACACCATATGACATCAGCTCAGATACAACAGCTAAGAAAAGGAGGAAGTGAGGGCATTTGTTATTTACAACATTTGCCTTCAGGAGCAACCACTGCATGTGCTGGAGCCCTGCTTCCCAGGAAGTGGCTGGACATTGCTTGCTGATGGGAACTAGAGAATAGATTTTTCTTCTTTCTTTGCTTGTGCGTGCACAACCTTTCACTTTTGCTTTAGGAGCTTCCTTGTCTCAACCTACAAGTTGTCTTCCATCTTACTTTCTCTCCCCTGTCCGCTGAGAAGGGGGAGAGAGTGTTAGAGCATCTAGCCAAGGTCAACTCACCACAAAAACACTGAAAAGAGACATTCCTGGAATCAAAGAAGCCTAAGCCTTTTGCCACACTACAAACATCTTCACGTGAGGGTCTCTATATGTCACTGGTCCTATTTATACAATGAACAGGTTTGAGGACTAGCTCAAAAGTCTACTGGTTTTCAGTCTTCAAGATGAAGAAGGTACTGCAGGAAGCAAATGACCAGCAGGTCTGGAAAACCTTGCAAACTTTGAAGGACTTTCATCCATCCTGTGAAAAATGCCTCTAAACTGGCTGCGGCAGATCAAAAGGAAGTTCTTTCTGAGCCTGGCTGTGTGGCCACCTAACTCCACTACATGCTGGGCTTTGCTTTTTTAATGTGTTGGAACTTCACAAGTGGAGAGACACATGGTAGTTGGTTGTTGTTTCAGTACACGAGAGTCACCTACCTATGCTGTTTGTAGAGCTGCACCACATGAGCAGGAAGCCAATACATATTAAATTTATAGCACCAAACAGCAAAATCTTCCAGGACTGTTGATGAGAATAAATATGTATTTTACACTTTCCAAAATTTGCAAGACAAAAACAAAACAGTATTGTGGTACTTCATCATGCAAACAGAACTGGCTTCTCCTCCCTCCCCAAAATTTACAACTCATTTCACAACAACAAGCCTTTAGTCTGCTTTAAACTTCAAAACTCGTTTACAAACAGCCCTTGTGCACCATGCTTAAAATAACTTCTGGGGCTAAAAATGAATTCACCCTTGTATAATATTTGCTTTTTATTACAGCACACACCACGTTTGAAGAGAGGCTTATGCCACTTGGTATTCATGGGTTCCTTTCTTTTGTGCTGAAACTTTGGTCCCAAAAACATACATTCAGTTTACAGTTCTACTGAACACATTAAATGTAATTCTGGAGAACACTAATTGACAGGGGCGATGCACAGGAAGGAATCCAACCTCAGAGCTGGACTTTTCTGTATGCACAGCTACAAAATTTAAAATCAAAAATTTCAAAATATATTCAAGTTAATAACATATTTTGACTTATCACAGCTAAAGCCTTTTTAATTACTAACTTTTAAAAAGCAATACTTACCCTCCTATCTGCAGCAACCAGCCTAAACTCATGTGTCAGCTTTCCAACCAATGATCTCTGTGGTTTACGGAACAGGTATATTGTCCCCTTAAAAAAAATTATAGTTTAATTAAAGTTTTCCTTCAGAAAGTCAGCAAAAATGAAATCTTAATGATGAACTATTTTCAAAACTCTATCAAATACTCACAATGAGGTTTTTGTTAACTAGAGACAGCCATAAGCATTAAATACAAGAATATTTTTTGTAACCATTTTACAGGGTGATTCTATTAGAACATTATGAGTGACTTCAAATCAAGCTTCATTCAGATATAATCCAGAATTCAAGTTTACTGGAAAACATACCAAAACACCATTTAGAGGGGTTTTTTTAAGTTTTATTCAAATGAAACTACTACAGGCAGTCTGAAAACATGAGTACTTTTCTTCATCAACACACACTTAGCACCCAAAGCCAACAGATTTATTACATAGGAACACATTGTTTAGGTATCTGCAAAAGAATACATCAGAGAAGTAAAAACAGTGCTGGCATCATTTGTGATGAGGTGGACAGTAACACGATGAGACACAATCCCAGTCATGGCTCAGCCTATGTGACAGGGAGCAGACTACCACGCCACTTGGCTCCCCCTCCTCAGAGGGCCCAAACTTCCAGCCCATTGGCCTCCATCCTGCTCTCCCCACAGAGCTAAGCTTTGCATGTGAAAAGCCCTTCTGATTTGCAGCAGAAATCTGTGGACTTGTAATAGATGGTCTGTCATCTGCAGGGATTTGGGGCTGGGTGAGACAAGGTATGATTGTAAGCTATCCCACCTGAACTGCCACCAGAAGACAAAAAGACATACTAATGGGCTGGTCACCAAAACAAACTCAATCAACTTAGAGACACCTTTGCCAACACAGCTCTGTCTCACATTCCATGTGTCTCTGTCTCACTACACATGTGCCATGGATTAAAATGCAAGCAGCAGTACAGATCCCAACTTTAGTTCACCTGGGGCAAAACACCAGCACTTACTGTTGCCTTAATGAGCAAATCATTACATGATTTTTATTTCCCAATAAAGACATACAGGATGCCATCAGGAAACACGTGGGACAGCTTTTCTAACAGGCAGTGGGCTGCCTGCTTATGAAGGCTGCAGTGCCACAGAATCACACAGTACTCAGAGTTGGAAGGGACCCACACGGACCATCTAGTCCAACTCCTGGCCTGGCACAGGACATCCCCAAGAGTCACACCATGTGCCTGAAAGCATTGTCCAAATGCTTCTTGAACAGTCGCAGGCTTGGGGTTGTGACCACTGCCCTGGGGAACTGTTCCAGTGCCCAATAACCCTCTGGGGGAGGAACCTTTTCCTCATATCCAACCTAAACCTCCCCTGACACAACTTCAGGTCATTCCCTCAGGTCCTGTCACTGGTCACCAGAGACAAGAGATCAGCACCTGCCCCTTCACTTCCCCTTGTGTGGAAGTTGTAGACTGCTATGAGCTCTCCCCCTCAGTCTGCTTTTCTCCAGGGTGAACAGACCAAGTCACCTCAGCTGCTCCTCGTATGGCTTTTCCTCGAGGCCCTTCACCATCTTCATTGCCCCTGCTATCACCTTTGCCCTCACAGCTTTCCCACACTGCCAGTACTGTGCCCGCTGCCCAACCTCACCCTGCCACACCGCAGGACGCTCTGCACCACAGCTGTGTATGCCACACCACGGAGAAGCCCTGCGAACCCACACCACGCACAGCTCAGCCCCTGGAAGCAAGCTCCAACTCAGCAGTCTGGCTTCAAAGCTTCTCTACAGCCTACAATTCTGTCAACTCAACGCCGAGAGATCCCTCGGTGCTGAGCAGCAGAGCCGCTGCCCCACACCGCAGCCCCTGCACGGCCCCGCGGGGCGCTGGCCCCGCCGCAGACGCAGAGTTTGCGCGAGGAGCGGATCCTCCAGCAGTGCCGACAGGTGACAGCACCTGTTCCCCACGCCGCTGTCACCGTGCCGGTGCTCGGCGCGAACGGGAACGCTGCGCCGCCCAGACGGACAGGCACACGCGGCGGTCGCTCCCACAGGAACCACTTTTCCTCTCTGGGAAGCACATCCGAGTGACAGCACCGCGCT